CGCGTTGCCGTCAAGTTGCCACATTTCTGGTCCGAAAGACCTAGCTTATGGTTCTCACAGGTTGACTCGCAGTTTGCAATCTCGGGAATAACAAGTGAGGAAACAAAATTTAATTATGTTGTGGCTCAGCTTGATACGCGTTACGCCGCCGAAGTAGAGGATATTATTACTAACCCACCGCCTACTGAACGCTACAAACATCTTCGCGCAAAACTCGTTGAACGGTTGTCTATCTCAGAAGAACAACGTGTGCGGTAACTCATCAATGAAGAAGAACTAGGTGACCGTAAGCCATCACAGTTCTTACGACATCTCCGTTCCCTTGCCGGCACTACTACATTACAAGACAATATTTTACGTCAACTTTGGCTCCGCCGTCTACCATCACAAGCACAAGCTATTTTAACTGCACAATCAGAGCTTCCTCTGGATAAGGTAGCCGAGCTGGCTGACAAAATTGTTGAAGTGCAGCCAGCCCCCTCGCAATTCGTCCATGCTGTTGCCACGACGAACAATAAAAAGGAACTCGATGTTTTAGCTGCCATTGAAGCACTCACAAAACAGGTAAGCCAATTATGTGCTAAACGCCCACAACGTTCCCACTCTAGGTCACGTAACCGTTCAAACGTGGAACTGACTAACGGCAAAGGATGGTGTTGGTATCATAGCACTTATGGAGAAAAGGCTGCCAAATGTAAGGCTCCCTGCAAGTATCAGGAAAACTCCAACGACAGTCAGTAGCGGCGGCAACAGACTGTCCGAACCCGAGCAGCCGCCTGTTTGTTACAGATCAAATAACAAAACGCCAATTTTTAGTCGACTCCGGTTCCGACTTATCTTGTTACCCTCAACGGCTACTACGGGAACGACGCCATGCCACCGATTACGACCTCAGCGCGGCCAACAACAGTACCATAAAAACTTACGGGACGGTCCATCTCAATTTGAATTTAGGACTTCGACGCAGTTTCCCGTGGAGTTTTATTGTCGCCGACGTGAGTACTCCTATCATTGGTTCCGACTTCATGGCATACTACCACTTGCTGCCGGATTGCCGTACCAAACGTCTTATTGATGGTGTCACAGGCTTGGCTGTGAATGGTAAGGTTTCCTCTGTAAATCAATGCAGCATAAAATCAGTTGCCAACACTTCCCCTTGGGCTGCACTTCTCGCAGAATTTCCGGACATCACACGTCCCACCGGATTGCCCAGGACAATAAAACATCAAACAGTGCACCACATTCTTACGACACCTGGTCAGCCAATAGCCTGCCGCCCACGCCGCTTAGCTCCAGGTAGACTAAAAATCGCCAAACAGGAATTCGCGGAAATGGTCAAGGCAGGTACCGCTAGACCTTCAAGCAGTCCGTGGTCTTCACCATTACATTTAGCACCGAAAGGGGAGAACAGCTGGCGTCCTTGCGGTGATTACCGCGCGCTGAACGCCCGAACTATACCAGACTCCTATCCAGTCAGACACATACATGATTTCTCGCACAACCTGGCTAATTGCACGCTATTTTCCACAATCGATCTGGTAAAGGCTTACCATCAAATACCTGTTAATCCGGACGATATATGCAAAACAGCCATTACCACTCCATTCGGACTTTACGAATTTCCTTTTATGACATTCGGATTGCGAAATGCTGGACAAACTTTTCAACGCTTCATAGACGAAGTTACCAATGGGTTGGACTTCTGTTATGCATATATTGATGACATTTTGGTATTCTCTAAATCGGAAGAGGACCACAAACAGCATTTACGCACTCTTTTCGGGAGACTTTCTGACTACGGTGTTGTCGTTAACCCGCAAAAATGTGTATTAGGTTCGGCTGAGGTGAAATTTCTAGGTTACCTAGTATCTTCTGAAGGCACCCGCATGCCACCGGAACGCGTCAAGGCCCTACGACAGTATCCATTGCCAAAATCTATGCAAGGATTACGCCGGTTTTTGGGAATGGTAAATTTTTATCGCCGGTTTATTCCCAAAGCTGCCGACCTGCAAGCACCACTTCACGGTATTCTCAAAGGCCCGAAGACAAAAGGTTCCCAACCGATAGAATGGACTCCCGAGTTAGAAAAAGCGTTCACCACATGCAAAGAAAGTCTTGCGACCGCTACTCTTTTAGCACATCCTCATCCAGCCGCACGACTTGGACTATTCACAGACGCATCTAGCCAATCTATCGGCGCATGTCTGCAGCAGCGAGTCAATAACATCTGGCAACCCATAGCATTTTTTTCAAAGAAAATGTCGGTGAAACAAAGTGCGTGGCCTGCGTATTATCGTGAGTTGCTTGCCATCTATGAATCGGTGAAGTATTTCAGGCACATTGTCGAAGCACAACCATGTACCATTTTCACCGATCATAAGCCACTCGTATATGCTTTCACCCAACGGAGAGAAAAGATACCTCCTACGCAACTCAACCAGTTGACATTCATATCCGAATTCACCACCGACATTCAACACATTAAAGGTGATGAAAATATCGTCGCGGATACAATGTCACGCATTGAAGTTGTGTCTCTCCCGCTGGACTACCGAGCTCTTGCTGCATCTCAAGACACGGATGATGAACTCAAACATTTTACTGACAACAATTCATCTCTTCATTTGGAGAAGGTACTAGTGCCAGGATCTTCAGCCTATATTTATTGCGACACGTCAACGGGACGCCCACGACCATTTTTGCCACAACGATTCCGGCGTCACGCATTTGATCAGTTACACAACCTTAGTCACCCCGGTGCACGCGTAACAGCTCACTTAGTTTCGGAACGATTTGTGTGGCCAGCAATGAAAAAGGATTGCCGTTCCTGGACACGTGCTTGCGTCCACTTTCAGCGATCGAAAATAAGCCGACATGTTTCAGCCCCACTGGGAAACTTTGAAACACCTTCACGCCGATTCAAACACGTTCATGTCGATATCATCGGTCCATTGCCGCCATCACAGTCCTTTAGGTACTGTCTGACGGTAATCGACCGTTTCACCCGTTGGCCGGAGGTGTATCCACTCGAACGTATAACAGCAGACGATGTCACTAAGGGTTTCCTCAATTGCTGGATTTCACGCTATTGAGTACCTCAATACGTTACGACTGACCGTGGTACTCAGTTTGTTTCAGCTACTTTAAAAACTTTAGCAAAACGTTTTGGTTTTACGCTTCGCCCCACTACCAGTTGGCATCCTGCTGCAAACGGATTCGTCGAACGAATGCACCGACAACTAAAGGCAGCCATCATGGCCCACGCAAAAGACTCGTGGACTGAGTCACTGCCTATCGTGCTTCTCGGAATACGTTCTGCGTTTAAGGAAGACTTAAAAGCCACGTCTGCGGAACTTGTTTATGGTGAGCCTCTTAATCTTCCTGGTGATTTCTTCACAGACAAGCAAGATAATAGCAGTACGAACGACCCTACTAGCTTACTAGATCGTCTTCGCAGTGTTATGAATAAAATTCGTCCAGTACCTGCATCTCGCCACTCAAATCCACGATCATTTGTTTTTGCGGACCTTAAGGACTGTTCACACGTATTTCTCAGGGAGGGAGGTGTCCGAGCAGCACTTCAACCGCCATATCAAGGTCCCTACGAAGTAATTGCCCGAAATGACAAAACGTTCACAATAAAAGTTCGAAATCAACCAGTTACGGTGACGATTGATAGAGTAAAACCTGCCTACCTCATGGTGAACGAAAGNTCTGCCTACATCATGATGAACGAAAGCACAACCGTTAGCCAGGCACGTGCTCCACCAGCGACTGCCCCGGATACGACCAAACAAAAACAACCGCCTAATACCGATCCATCAACACAGCCAGTACGAACAACTCGCTCAGGCCGCCGAGTCAGATTCCCGGACATTTTTGACCCTAGCTAACTCCACTCCGTAGGGGGGTGGTGTGGCGGTCGAATATTCTAGAATGTCCGGCCGCCGCCGCCTCTAGAAGATTCGTCGCTCTACATAAGCGTGTGGCGGTCGAATGTCTAGAGAGTTCCGACGCCGCCTCTAGAAGATTCCTCTGACTATTTAAGGACTATTTAATATCTTTTCAATATACTTTTGAATGAGAGTGATAAGTAATAATTGCCTTATCTAATTTCTTATCATGATATTTATGCCAAGTTTGTAATGTATACACACTATCATCATATGTATACACAGTAATCATGAAAAGATAGCGTTTTCTTCTGTCCTTTTCTCAATACATATTTCAATGTTTATAACCATGAAATAGTGCATGAAAATTCAAATTTTTACAAACTTCAAAACGCTACAGAATATTTACTACTGAATATTAATAAGATATTTTTTTACTAAAATTTTTCTTAAATTCTACTCTACAAAATAGCTTTTTTTTTTACATTTTATTTAAAATTTAAAAATAATTAATATTTTTAATAAAATATAAAAAAATTAATTATTGAGATATAGCTATAGACCTAACGTCTAACTATTATTTAAAAAAAAAATCAGCTAAAAATATTAACTGGATCAAAAGTTATTTAAGTTGTCAGTGAGTGGTGGGCCACCCTGTATATATACGTCGGTGTAGGCATTTGAAATTATACGATTTATGTTAATATGAACTCGCGTGTAACTATTTCTATAGTACAACCTAATATTAAATATGTTAACCGGTTAATTTTAGTGCTTTTTTATAGAAAGTATTTTACGTTTGATTAGTTAATCTTTGGATGAAAATTTTGTGTGTTGGTTCACAGCTTTGTTTGTGTAGCAAGATTTCATTCACCTTAAGTGTGTATACAGTGCCCTCTGATACCTTATTGTGAAGTTTTAATTCTATTAAATAATTAACATCACTTATTTTTTTCAAAAAACAAATTATTTTAGCTGATACCATTGTAATTTCCAACAGGTGATCTTTTTAAATAAAAAAAAGATCAATAACATTTTTGTTATTGATTTATTTATTTGTTAATAAAAAACAAATGAAAAGAACTACCAATTTATTATAATTTTTTTATCTGTTTAATCATATTATGTATTTGAATTATTTCACACTATAAAAATAATATGATTTGAACAAATAAATTATTTCAACTATACAAAAATAAATAAATAATTTCATGGCTTATTTCATATAATATTTTATTATTTTGGAGACACATTTTTCTTAAATTGCCCTACAACATTTCCCGAAGGGTAATAATTTGTCACTATAATATACATGCCGTTAGAACCTTTTGAAACACCTATTCCTATTTCTTTTGAATTTTTCCAAAGTAATTGAGTCATATGTCCATATGTTTTATCTAAAAAAAAATAGTGCATCAATAAATTTTCAAACTCACAATGAAGCTAAATATTAACATATTTAAAAAAAAACCCAGCACAGGGGGGTCGCGGCACAGTGGTGACGTGTCATAGATAGATCAAGTATAATGATATCTGACAGTGATTAAAATCACTATCAAAAAAAACGCTTCGATGCAAATCTTTAGATAGTGTTTAATTTTAAAAAATTGGTGGATTATTCCAAAAGCTACATGATCTGCTAGTTCCTTAGTAATATCCTGATTAAGATAAAGTATGTCGAATGAAAAAGGGTTTATTAAAAAAATTTATTTCTCATAAAAAAATTGTGTTGATCAATACACTTTTCAATATGTTTTAATATTATAAAGTTAAAAATGTAAAATACAAAATCGAGAATTTTCACACAAAAATAGCATTTGGTAGCCATTTTCACCTTGAAGATAAGTCTAGAGCTCCCTAGAACTTCTTAAGCGGGAAAGCGTCTTATGCGGGAATGAAAAAAAAAATTATGTGATTGAAATATCGAGTTTATTTTTTTATTATTAAACATAATTTACTGTATATTACATAAGCTTTAATTTAAGATATATATAAAAGTGTCAGACCTTCCCGAACATTTTTAAAAGTTAAGTTGAAAAAGTAAATTTTTTGTGAAAAAGTTGTCATTTTAAATCCCCCCCTGTGGGCAGATAAAGGGTCAAATGTACAAAAAAAATGTATCAAATGATAGGTAAAGACATCAAGCATCTATAAAAAAAAAATTATATCGATATGTTCATTTTTGAAAAAGTTACGGCACATTTTAGTAAAAAAAATTGAAAAAATTTCGAAAATTAGCGATTTTTAAATTTGTAATTTTTTTGGAGGTTTCCCCCATTTACGGGGAACGGGGGAATTTTTT